TATGAGTACCTTGATTCTCTATTGCACAGAAGTTGTTACGTAGACACTAAAGGTTCACAACAGCGGTGGGTGAAAAATTGTATAAAAAAATAAAAATATACTTCTTTTCTCATATCCACCATCTATTTTTGTATACACCTTTTATAGGCAAAATTCAAAGAGGTTCATGTGGAGTACTGTAGATGTTTAGGGTGATAGTACCTTCCCTTTGTATAACCAACCCCCATACTTAGATCCTATCCCCCTCTTTTTGGATTTATTCACTCTTTTCCCATTTCCTCTGGAAACAATAAAGCGCGGTGGAGATTTTTATTTGATATGTGCGAGTTAAGTCAAATCCAATGGTTTTGTCTCAACATTTCTACCGCTACAGAAAAATAGCAACTTCACTGGGGAAAGATCGGTCAAATGTTGGTCCATCTCTAAGTGGGTTGAGCATATCTTTGTTTATTTGTGTATGTGCTATTATTTGTTGTATATTATGTGTTGTACATTTGTTTTTCTGGATTTTCCTGGTTTTTAGGGTGCTTGGTAATCTCTCATAAGTCCTCTACCCGGACTTGGGCAAACTTAAGATAGGACGGACGATATAGTCATGTTAACTTTGAGAGAGGAATCCCAAAAAAGGAGACATGAGATCCCCCACTCAGTGGAGGCCCCTTTGACTATAGCATTTTTTTACCGAGCAATCAGGAAGACATGTTGTTTTTGACCTGGGAGCCTACTGGAGCTGAGGACTGTAGAACCCTTAACCCATTTTGGCCTTTTAGGTGTAGTGCGGAGACTATGACGGAGCCATTCGGAAGTGGTTGTCACACGATGCTACACTCAGACGAGTTTTTCCTGAGAATATTTCTGATCACCGAGTTAATTGGGATGTTGGCAATATCCGGAGGAAGGATGTATACTCTGGGAACCTTTTAGAACATTGTTAGTAGGTGATAAACCATTAGTCCATACCTTGTGGGTAGTACCTTTAACTTCATGCTCGTGACGTCGAACCTATGAACCCCAAGTTTGTAATCTTGTGTGTGACTGTTGCATTATCATGCATTCATGCATCCATGAGCATTCTGTAAAACAGTTGCTTCAAGGAACTTAAAGTTGATTTTTAAAAATATCTCAGGTACTTTTTGACCATGGATTTCGGAAAAAGAAAGACTCAGAAGTACAGTTTCAAGGATCCTAAGATAGAGTAATTGATGAGTTTAATTCCTAAGATTGAGAGTTCTACAGATTTTCGGAAGAAGTATGGATTCTTCGTGCCTCTTATGAAGCTCAAGATGAAGGAGGGTATTATTTCTACATTGGTCCAGTTCTACGATCCGTTGTGCCGGTGTTTTACTTTTCCTGATTATCAGTTGATGCTCATATTGGAAGAGTATTCTTATTTACTTGGCTTACCTATTACTGATCGTGTTCCTTTCACCAGCTTAGAAGGAGAGCCTAAGTCTCATGAGATTGCTTCCATGACTCATTTGAATAAATCTGAGATTGAGGCTAACATGACTACCAAAGGAGGAATCAGAGGTTTACCTACTCAGTTTTTATTGGGCTGCATTCATCTATGATAATTTCTATTTGCAGTTTGTACAAAGTTTACATATTTTTCGTGTAGCTTGTGTTTTGTTCTTTGTGGTTTTATTCCTCTTCTCCAATTTGATTGTGATAAGGTTATTTTAGCCAAAAATTTCTTAAGGAGAAGATTGTTAAGTCTGTGATTTTATGATTGGAAATTTTTTTGGCAAAACATGTTTCATTTGGAAAAACATATATCACAGCCTGATGTTGAGCAAGATGTCATGACATCTTAACCAACTGTCATGATAGGTTCTGCTGTCATGTATCTCAGACAGATGTTGAGTCAGATGTCTTGACATCTTAGCCAGTTGTAAAGCAAGTGTTGTTGTTATTTTCTTGACAGATTTGATATGTTTTTGTGAGATTATATTGGATATATCTCACTTATTTTCACAGGTCAAGAAAATTTTATTAGGAACCGTTCATATTTGATTTGGTTTCATAAAAAGGATCTTGGAGACTATTTAGGAAACTTTGAAGATTTGTTCCTATTTTTGTGGAGAAGATATTGCATCTGATTTACAATTGGAAGATTGGATTTTATTGAAGAGTCCAAGCCTATGCTACAAGAGTCTCTATATAAGGACTTACTAAACCTAAAATTAGCAAGAATTCACATAAAAAAATCGTGTGTGGTTGAAATAAGGGCTTAGGGTTTTGAGAGTACTTTATGTGCTTTGTTTGTTTTTCTATGTCACCCATGTATCTTCTGATACATTGAGGTAGACTGATTGTTCATTGTTGCTTTCCAATCACTCACGAGCTTTTAAGCAAGTAGTAGATTGTGTGTCAAGTTATTATTCTCAGTTAAAAGCTTTTAAGCAAAACTGAGTATTGTAATTAGAAGTGTGTTCTTCTATTTTTGTTATTGTCACTGAGGTGGCTGTGGAAAGTGAGAAGGCGGTCTCATATCTAGAAGGTTTCTAGGTAGAAGTATCACAAGGTAGTGATTAGGAGATAAGTTGTAAACTAGGGTTGTTTAGCTTTGAACTAATATATTCATATTGGATTTCCTTCCTGGCTTGGATGCCCCTAGAGCAGGTGAGTCAAACCTAACTGGGTTATAATTGATTGTGTCTTTTACCTTCTATAATTTACTTCTGTATAATTTATTATTTTGGTAAAAGTATTATGTCAGCAAAAGATGTCTTAACATTTGTCTTGACATTGTATTTTGGTGTTGGGACACCAGTCTTGACATTTGTTTTAAAGTGCCAGAATTTCAATCAGTTTTACTCTCTATGGGTTTCTCTATAGGTTTCGCTCACTTGTTACTTTCATAAATAAGTAAAAAAGCTATTTAAATTAAGGATGAAAAATGGGCCTTGAAGCTTTGATTCAAATCAAGTGAAAAGTGTGATTCAAATCAATTTGGGCAGAGCCAAAATAAAGCTTCCGGATTTAGTTGATTCAAATCAATTTTTACACATGATTCGAATCATAAGAGGTCGTGATTTAAATCTTGTTCAATTTATGATTCGGATCAAATTCTCCAGAGCCAAATCCCATTTTTCATATAGCTTCTGATTTGAATCATGTATTACACTTGATTTGGATCAAATGACTGGAAAACCAGATATAAGAGCTTTAACTTGTGATTCAAGTTACGCCTGATGAAATGATAAAGTAGCGACTATCTAGGCTCAAAATACATACTACCAAGGATCAAACATTCTTATTAGGGTTAAATAAGTTTTTGGTCCCTCTAAATATCTCAAATTTCGTTTCTAGTCCTTCTAAATTTTTCCTTCAAAGAATGGTCCTCCTAAAAATTTAAATTTTAACTTTTGGTCCCTCCTGACAAAATCGTAGCTAAAATAGTCTCTAATTTTATCGCTAAATAAAAATCGTCGCTAAGTTGTAAAAAACGTCGCTAAATTACAAGAGAGACCAAAAATTAAAATTTAATTTTTTAGGAGGATCATTCTTTGAAGAAAAATTTTAGAGGGACTAAAAACGAAATTTGAGATATTTAGAAGGACCAAAAACTTATTTAACCTTTCTTATTAATTGAGTAAGGAGAGTTCTTATTGTTACAACAACACAATAGCTGAAGCGATTAAAATGAAGTACGAAATGATTAAAGTACAAGAACACGACAATATAATCTAATTACAAATATGCAAATATTAAAAGTATCTATATCAAATTGACAAAAATATCAAAACACATAAGTGATACGATATGATAATGTGACTGCACTTTCAGAGGTCACCGCGAGACGCGTCTACTAAACGTCATTTCTTTATATTTCGGATGGTTGGCATGTGGGTCATCTCTTATGTATCTTTATCTGCCCGAGTGAGAGATGTAGTAGTTTGGCTATTTCCATATTATTCAGAGACCCTCTATGAGTATGCTCCTCCCACCGTTTGTTGTAGAGATCTTGATGCGATACTGGAGGATTTCGAGAGTCACTTGGTACCAGAATAATATCGTAGAGTGTTAGCTCCTTTTTAGTGGACTTATGTTGAGGGCTACATGACATGGTTCTATAGAGTGTCACGCTTTATCATGACATCATACGCTCCTGAAAGAACACCTAGGTCAATTAATCAAGAGATACTTGAGGTTAGGAATGACCACACTGAGAATGTGTTGACGGTTTATCAGTGTATTGTAGAGATGAGGAGATCAGGCATAGAGTCCGGACTCTTTGAGGATGACATTCCTAAGTTAGCCCTCGTGGAAGACATGATTGTTGAGGCACGAAATGTCTTGCAGTATAGGGGAATGAGAAGGCGGAGAGTTAGGCAGACCTAATAATTTATGTTTATTTGTATTTTTTATATTTTCCAAACAATATACTATATGGACTTTTAACATAATTGAGTACTATGTTTTTTTTGCATAATTGAGTATTATATTTGAATTAAGTAATGTACGTGTTTTCTTTCAAATTCATGATCTAAAATGACCTAAAATATATGTGCTTCAAAAATATCAAATTTAATGAATAAAAACAAAACAATTGAGTATAGAGGGTATTTCCAAGATAATCTTTCAAGATACACTCCAATAACGTAGGATATATAATTTTGTTAATGTAAACATATTTCAACATATAATTTATATTTCAACACTTACTAAATATATTCAAATACAAATCATTTTCCATTCAATTCACTTTTAATTTGTAATCAATTTTACTTATTTAATTTGTAATCAATTTTTCTCATTAGAGAAACAAACACGCAGTCTTCTCTATTTTATTTATAAAAAATAAAAATAGTCTGGCCCAAACTTGACCCGAGTTTGACATGAACTAGATCTTAGGCACACCACATGTGCATGTGTTGTTATATCATAGCCCTTTCGTGCGTGGGACATGTGCATATGTTGTTACATAAGAGTCGAAAAATAAATTATGATAGTGACAATAAAACTTGTTGCATAACAAAGCATAGCTGTAATATAGACTAATGAGGGTGGTGTCCACTACACAAACAGTTAATTTCATGTGACAATGCCAACTGTTTAAGGCCTAAACAAAATGTAATTGAACCACTTATGGTAAACATTCTCAAAAATTTCGCCAACATGTCAACCAAACAGACACAAGTGTTGCATACCAAATTAACATCATCTGGAACAACTTGACAAATATTTATATTATTACATACAATTCTGCAAGGAGGAAAGAGAATCATAAAGACAAAACCAGCTAGCTTTGGGAGCAGACACAAAGATACAATGCCACTTGGACAAAATGACATCACAATACCATAATGCAAATATGCAAGCCTTCATTGTCTAATCTCAATCATATGCTTCTCTATAATATTCACGTGATGAATCAATAGCTCTGATAGCAACACCTGGCTATATGTTCCTGCTGCTTGCTTAATACTCTGCTGCTATAGGTTCTTGTACCAAGGTGAGATGTGGTTTGTCTTCAATGACTACATGGGATTCTACTTCACCTGGATCTATGTTCAGAGACGGAGTTTCACTTGTCTCGTCGGACAAGACATTGTTCTCCTCAATAGCTGCAGCTGCTACAACTTCATCTTCCTTTGTTGCAATAGACAAGGTGGTAACCTCAGTTGTTACACTAGATAAGGAGGCTTTCTCGTCGTTCACCGCCTTAGACGGAGTCCGTGCAGAGGTTGTATTGGATGAACTGATCCTTTCAGGAGTCAGTCGAGGAGGGAGAGATTTTCGCTGTGGCTTCTTTGGGTGAACAGGACTAATTCCTTTGGTGGGGTTATTCTGAGATAATTTCTCGTCCAGACTTAAACGACATTGTTGAGCATTGCTTATGGTGTTTCCTTCTAGATCTGAAGATGTTGAAGTCTTTTTACGACCAAGCTTGGGAGATTTTGCTCTTGTAGTTGGTATCTAAATTCACAAGTCCAAAGGAATTTCAATTTCTATATCATAGACAAACTCTTTCCATAATAAAATCTTGGACAAATATGCTAACTCGAAAAAGTTCAGGGAGAATATTAACAGTTTCAGAGCAAAAAAAGTCCAAACTACATGCCCAATGAGAAGTTAAAATAGCAAAGCAAAAAAGACTCTGTCAAAGAAAAACCGAGATTAACATCACTTTATAGTTAGATTTTGGAAGTCAGTAACATGATACCTCTACAAAATATCTACCGATGTAAGAATTAGGCTTCAAAATTCGCTCCTGCCTAAGTTCTCAAGCAACTTCAATAGGTGTAAAATTAATCAACACTGACGATAAAGTTTAACCAACTAGCTAACTTGAAACATCTCTAACTGGAGCTCAGCAGTTCTGTGGTGAAGTTGGTGTGGCATTCAGATAACATAAGTAAAAACAGTTTAGATGCACTTTATCACACACCTATATGCCTAATACATAAGTAAAAACAGTTTAGATGCACTTTATCACAAACCTATATGCCTAAATAAGTAAAAAGCCATCTAGAATGACAAATTAAGAACTACTACTCATTTTTAGAATCAGATAGAATATCAAAATTAGTTCGGAAATAGCAAAACTACCTAAATTTCAGAACCCACAAGATATGTTACAGGCCATCAAAGCACAGACCAAATCTAAAGGTTCTAGATGGAGATCAATGAGGTAATTGAAAAGAATATTCAACATGCTAATTGAAAGTCCTTAAGTTTCTAAAATAAACCATCAGATTCATGGATTGAAATCTTAGTTAAAAAATATCTAATATATGCAGTGATATTTTGAACTTATGTATAATATAACAGGCTTATTGCTTTTATTTTCACTTCCCTATTAATTTTGGTCCAACGTACCCAAGAAAATACATGTCTTATAATGTTAATAACATACTCAAGACATGAAAGTTCTATATTTCCATCTCATTTTTAAACCCAGCTAACATCTTGGTAGCATAACTAAAGAATGTATACACTATGCATTGACTAGAAAGACAACACCACAGAGAGTAATATCTATACACGCATGAGATTTTATATAATGAGTGGAGACCAAAAAACATTCTTAACAATAGAGTATTTCGGAACAAGCAAGACAATTGATTAAACAGACACCAATTGATAGAGTGAAGTGGAAACAGTGAGAAGCTTCAATCAGAAAAGATGCCTCTTTTCAAATAAATTAAGAAGATTGGCCAAGTTGTGTGTGGGTGCGTACACATCAATGTACTTGTCAGTTGGGTATTGACATGCCAACAAGAAATACATTTCCTATCGTTCAAAACTAAAAACCGAAAAAATTAGGCTTACATGCAATCAGGAAGATAGGCATCCATGTCTGCTCATAAACAGAAACTAACCTTCTTCAACTCCACCCGAGAAGGAGGAGGTTCCTGGTAGAAGCTTGGCATTGGAGTTGCTTTAAATGCTAGTTTTTTCCTAAGCCTCCTAATTTCAGCTTCTTGACTCTCCTATAAAAAGAAACCAAAGGTTGATATGTTTAAAAGGAATTAGCACAAATTTTCAGCCTAGCTATCATATATTATCACCTTGGTTTTTGCTTGCATGTTGCTCTCCTCCACTTCCTTCGCATGAATCCTTTCCTCAAGCTTAGAGTAAAACTGGCCACCAAAATATGAAATTATTTTAAAACTATAAACTTATTTCAAAGGAAACCATAATGGTAACCCAAGAGAGAAGCAAGTAATAATTACTTACTTCTTTTCTTCTCTCAGCTCGCTCATTACATTTGAAACTAAATCCATAAGTTGGCATTGTCCCCGTTCTGCGAGGCTTGCCATCTTCTGCTGTAGGACTTATAAGTGGATTAAGGATAAACCATTAAACCACAATCGTAAACTACATTATTCTCAAATGTAGCAGGATTCAAAACTAGGCATCAATGATGTCTCTAAGAAGCTTATTTGCCTTAAAAATATACTAAAATGTAGCACATTTCATTTTCAACTCCAAAAAAAAATATGATTCAAGCATCTAAGGGAAATGTAATTTACCCATAAACTTGCTATTTAGATATACATAAACCTCTCTTTGCTCCCTATTTCCACTCTCAAGAAAGAAGAACAAAAACTTGACCGCAAAAAAAAAAAGGATACAAAGATAAGTCAGCATTTCCTTGAAGATTATCAAGGGGTTCTTTCTTTATTAACTGTGGTCTAATCTTGTCCCTGTATCCAATAAATTGCAATCCATTCACACGTCAAATAACTAAGATGATACGGTCATCATACCATATTATTTTGTCAGAGAAAATGATACGAACAATTCAAAATGAATACAAAAAGCATTTCATACGTTGGTGCTTCAGAAGACGCTGCATCAGACTTTCCAGCTTGCTGAGAGAAATTGTAAGAAAATATCAGTAAAGGCCAATACTACAATTTCATTGCACAAATCCAAAAAGCTAAAAGAACAAACCGAGGAAGCACAATTGAAGGTAACCGATACCTTGTTCAATCGAGTCTGTTTGTCGTTCAAGTTCAACGCTCTGCTCTTAACCGCCTGTCTAGGATTCAAGTCTAAACTGGAAGAAGTACCATTTGAAACAGCCGCTGCTGCTACCACCTCTTCATCTTTCCCAACTTTGTTCTTTCTCACCAAACCTATAGGCCCTCCTTTACCACTTGTTTGTTTCACTTTCTTATCTTTCACAGGACCATTTCGGGTTCGAGATGTCTCCGATTCACCTCCGATTTCCACATCCTCTTCCTATAATTCACAAAAACACAAACACATACACAAATAAGAAAAACAACAAATCGAGCGTGCGAACGAAAAATTAAATAATTAATCTCACCTTCAAAATTCCAACATTGTTTCCCTCTATTTTTCCATTCAATTCTTCCATACAGAAATCATCACCAAAATTTTCAAAATCTCCATTTGACACCATTACACTTTCTTCAATTTCAGTAACAACAGAGTCTACATTCACTCCTTCAAATCCACTCGGATCCATCTTTCACACCAAGCTACAAAATTAGGGTACAACACATAAACAAACAAATCAAACAAAAGGATAAAATAGTAACTACATTATAACAAAATTTGGTTACTAACTAACCTGAGATGAGGTATCAGAAGAGCATAGCGGGTTGAGATCTGAGGATCCGGGTCCGATAACAAGATCCGAAAGACTGAAAGTGTTGTTGATGATTTGTTTTTGTTTATTTTTAACTGATTTATAAGTAGAGAGTAGAGAAGGAAGAGTGAAGAGAGTGTTGTTATTATAGAAAGGAAGGAAGAGTTGAATTTACAGGTCAGATCGTGTCGCTTTCTCCGCTGGATTTCTAGTCATACCAAGTCACGCTCTGCGGTTGTCTACACGGCCTTCACGGTTTTGTAAATAATGTAAAAGTTTTTTCCAAATATTGAAAATTATAAATGATTTAATAATAGTTTTGACATTTTATATGCTTATTTTTTTAAATTAAATTGTGGATGTGTACTTCAACTTAAGGTAACTTATCCGGGTGGATTAAAAAAGATTGGATGGTAATGATGACATCGATGTTTTAAGGGATGGAGGTGTATTAATAAATACTCTATAAATCAAATGAAAAGTGATCGTGAATGTGAGATTTATGGTTTTTCAGTGTGCACCTCATACAAAATTGTTTGTTGGCTTCATACCAAGGGTAATGGTTTAGAAGTTTTAGAATTTTTTTAGAAATGATTATCTCACAAGACATATGTTAGAGCATCTTGTGAGTCTTATTATCATATCGTCTTTGATTTTGATCGAGTGTGCTTCTGATACGTGTTAATTCACTGGTACACTTCACTTAATTAGACTTGAGTGACATTTTTTCATGTCGATTAGGCTTTGGCTTAGTTAGAATAGTTGCACATTAAGTCTTAGTTGGCTTGACTAGATTATTGTTTGTCTTTGACCTCACTAAAAGGTTACATCAACTGAAGAATGTGGGAAAAAAGTCGTCTTCCCTTACAAGTTGGAGGAAACATTGGCGACTATTTTTAGTTTGAGATAATGTGGTGATATTTTGATTGTTGACTTGAATAGTTGACTTGCCAATAACTATTCAGACATGTTTTAAGGTGTGTGCCACAAACTCCACGCGTTCTTCACTCTTTGGGGTTTCTTGGGGTCAGAACACTAGGTCATATCTTGCTATCATACATATTTTTGTTACAAAATAATGTGGACATGACCTAAACTATGTATCTCCCAATTCTTTCATGTTGCCTCTAGCTCTAGCTCTAGGTGATTTAGGGTGAGACACGCAGTAACTGCTCTATAGAAGACAGGGCACAAAGATGGTTTTTGTAATGTTATATTTGTAAGGGTCCTAGACAAGGGCAGCTTTGGCGTTCCCGCCTAAGGGTGTCGTCTCTTGAGCGACATCTCCAAAGAACAAGGGGATCGCCCCGAGGATGGATGACGTGTACAAATATTGTTATCCCCCATTAGTCAGAAGGGAAGAAGTCCACCATGATGTTAGAACATAGTTTGATTCTACAACTCTTAATTAGAATTTTGATGATACAAACACAAAGAACAAATATGCACTCTAAATTTGTGTTATTTTTTATACAGAAGTTCTGACTGAAACAGCATCAGAAGTTAAGCTACAGAAGCTTTCAAGCTAAGCTAATCAGAATATTCTGAAGAATGATGATCAGAATCTGCGTTGAAGTAAAAGATACTCTGACTCTGAACCGAAGTCTAATATGCCAACAGATCCTCACATTTCTGAGTCATCAAAGTTCTGAAGTAAAAGCAGTATGCAAGATTCTATTGTTCTGAAGCGTTACTTTTCAATTAAGACAGTATCATATGCAACGGCTTCATTCAGACAAGAATCTTCTCAGTATGGAAAGTGAATTGAGTGTCCATTATCACGCGTTATTTTGGACAAGATTTTCACGCTATATAAACAAGCTTAAAGGACAAATCATTTACGATTTTGACCTATGACTGCTCATACATCTTAAATGCTGCAAATACTCATATTCTCTTATACTCTCAAATTGTGTAATATATCACAGTAGTGATACAATTTTTGTAACGAAAAACAACAGTACACAGTAAATCATTTTCTTTTGATTAAGCTAGTTTTCCTTGAGATAAACCGGCTTGTGGTTGTACTCAAGAAGACTTTGGCAGTTGTCAAAGTATTATTGTAATCAGTTTTGATTAGTGAATTAAGTCCTCGTTGGAGAGAGGCGAAATCACCTTGGCGGATGGACTGGAGTAGTTTGAGATCAAACGAACCAGGATAAAAATATCGTGTCTACTGCTTTTGTTTTTAGTTTCAATTCAACCCCCATTCTTGTGTTTTTCACTTCTTCAATTGGCATCAGAGCGCTTGATTCTGAGTTGATACACTTAACTGTGTCAGTATAATATCTAAGCTTTAGAAAAACACTATGGTGGGACCAAGTCAAAACATCAGCAATGACTATCATGAGGACAAGGACAGAATCAGCGGCAAACCTCCAGTCTTTAATGGAGAAAATTTTGACTACTAGAAAGACAGAATTGAGAGCTTCTTTCTGGCTCATGATGCTGATCTATGGGACATGGTAATTGATGGATACACACATTCTGTGGATGAAAGTGATCAGAAGATAGATAGAAAAAGGATGTCTGACCAACAAAAGCGTGATTTCAGAAACCATCATAAAGCCAGAATAATACTTCTCAGTGCCATCTCATACTCAGAATATGAGAAGATCTCAAACAGAGAGACAGCCAAAAACATGTTTGACTCTCTGAGAATGACGCATGAAGGCAACATACAAGTTAAAGAAACCAAGGCCCTTGCGCTCATTCAGAAATATGAAGCATTCAAGATGGAAGACAGTGAATCCATAGAAGCAATATTCTCAAGATTCCAGATTCTTGTTGCTAGGCTGAAAGTTCTTGACAAAGGATATTCTACTGCTGATCACGTAAAGAAGATCATCAGAAGTCTACCCAAGCAATGGAGGCCAATGGTCACTGCACTTAAGTTGGCTAAAGATCTCAACAAGATATCTCAGGAGGAACTTGTTAGCTCCCTCAGAAGTCATGAGATAGACCTAGAAGAAGACGAGCCTCAGAAACAAGGTAAGCCTTTAGCATTAAAATCTAACAAAAAACTTGACTCTAAGGTTTTGCAGGCTATGGAAGAAACTTCTGATGGATCCTCGTCAGAAGAAGACGAATTATCTCTTCTCTCTAGAAGGGTCAATCAACTGTGGAAGCAGAGACAAAGAAAATTCAAAAACCCGAGAAGATCAGAGAATCAGAATGAATCCTCCTCCAAATATAGAAAGTCTGAGTCCGCCTCTGGACACAGAAGATCTGAAGCTTCCTCTGGTCACTGAAAGTTAAATAACAAAGACATCATCTACTATGAGTGCAATAAACAAGGGCACTACAAAAGTGATTGTCCAAGGCTTCAGAAGGAGAAGCCCAAAAAGAAGTTCTTCAAGGAGAAGAAGAAAAACCTCATAGCAATATCGGACGATTCAAACACTTTTGATGCTGACTCAGAGTCAGATGATGAAAGAGCCAACATCGCTCTTATGGAAAATGTGACAGAAGACAGCAAAGCTTCTGGTTCAGACTCAGAATCAAACACAGAAGAGGTATTCCCTAATTTCAATGTTAATTTTACTAAAGCTGAACTTGCAGAAAGTCTGAATGAAATTCTGGAAAGGTATCAACAGATCATATTCAAATTCAAGAACCTGAAAAAGGATCTTATCTCTGTCTCTAAAAGAACTGAGAGTCTTAGATTAGAAAACTATGAGTTAAAAGAAAAGATTTTAAAATTAGAAAATGATTTACAAAACTCTCAGAAGGAAATAATCTCAGAGACTCTCAGTAATTGTGATAAGATCATCAAAGAATATGATTACAACTTTCAGAAGTTTCTGGCTAAAACATAGATAGAAGCATGATGGCTTCAATGATCTATGGAGTTAGCAGGAATGGCATAAAAGGAATAGGATACCAAGGTAAGGTATCTCCACCTAAGAAAGTCATGGACCTAGTTATAAAACGCACACCACTAAAATCACACTTCACATACGGGCACACACATGACCTAAAATACACCAGTAATGATTATTCTGCCAAACCAAAATGGAAATAGAATTTTGGTAAAACTAACAAACTAGGACCCAAAAAGATATGGGTACCTAAGGACAAAATTATATATGTGTTTACAGTGATTTCTGGTAAACAACCGCTAGTCCTCCAAACTATCGAATAATCTTACTGACTGTTATTCAATCTCTCTGGTAACTCGCAGGATCGACTAGATTGATCCTAGGATGTATTGGTCATTTTGGATAACTCTCATTTTAGAACTGGTATTCATGGTTGGTATTTAGAATGTTATGTGGGTGTTTGACTTATTTCGATTACTCTATTGAAGATCTAAAGGCGTGCTCAAGTAAATGTGCGCGGAACTAAATTGCATGAATAAAGTTCAATTGTAAAGACATGTAAAAACTGCATAAAAGACAAGTAAACGACTTCGAAGCATAAAAACATGTAATGTAAAAGATTCTCTGGAATGTAAAAGATTCGAAATATGAAGAAAGCGTTTAAAGGCAAGAAAACAGTAAAATGACTTTAAGTGAAAAAAGGTGTTCGAATGATAAAAGCTTAAAGATAAAGGCATGAAATGTACAACAGTTTCTGAAATGTAAAGTATTTGAAATGGAAAGAAAGCATTTAAATGTAAGGCATCAGTAAAAAGACTTCGAATGAAAACATTTTAATGCAAAAGCTTTTGAATGGTATTGACATGAAGATAAAGGAAAATACTGGAAATGATAAAGAGTTTTTATTAAATCATAAACACTTGGTGTTATCATACGTACATTGCT